CAACGGGCGGGTACATTCGTAAAGTCTCCTCAATGCAGGCATGCAGGTACTTGAGTTGCGCAGTAGACAACATCGTTATATCTTTCTCGTTGGCGAAGGCCGTCCGAACTTCTTGCTGGAGCCGTTCGAAAGCCTGCGGGTTCGTTGACATGAAGTAGGTAAAGCCTGAGAGTGTCGTGGCTGTCGTCTCGCTGCCAGCCACGATCAAAGCCTCGGAGTTGCCCAGGATCTCTGCATGGCTCATGCCCTTCTCGTCGTTGTTGCGAAGGATGTATGTCATAATGTCCTTCCGGCCGCCGGGTGCTGCGCCAAGTGCCAGCCTTCGCTCTACCTTCTCGTCACTCATGATCCTGTTGTTATGACGCGTTTGCATGTCCTCTTTAGAGATCATCAGCCGTAGGATCCAGCTGAGGCCAGGCATCTTCATCAACGCAACAATTTGCGCGCCAGCTCTGATGCCAGCGAATATCATGGAAACCCATGGATGGTAATCGCTGCTGTCCAGGCAGTGGAACGATTCACCCAGGGCCAAATCGCCGATGATGTCGAAGGTGGTGAAGTTGAACCATTTGACTACGTCCGTCGGGGTGTGTTGCGCGGCGTCTTTATGTAGGTGGGCAAAGAGCTTGTCGACGTACTCCATGATCAACGCCTCCTGACCCTTGATAGCAGCATCGGAGAAAGCATGTGCCATAACACGGCGTTGACGTCGATGGTCCTCTCTGCTGCTAGGAAAGATCGACTTGCGTGAAGTGTCTCCGCCCTGGTAAAATTCATGCCACCTGCCGAATTCGGGTCGGCCACTGCGACTTAATCCGAAAACCTCAGGCCATCCAATAGTTCCGTTGATGGATATGGAGTTGGGCGAAGTACGCACCATGTCACCGTACTTTTCATGGTACTTCAGGACCTTTTTGGCGAAAGTTCCTTGGATGCTGTTCTCGATGGCCAGAGGGATCCCGGAAACGGCGAAATGCTTCGGTCCAGGAATCTTGCGAAGGGGGTGGAAGAAGAGACGATAGATTGCAACGCCGATTGCACTGACGACACCCTGAGAAAGCGTTAGAGGGTGATTGCATCAGCGAGATGAGAACACTTACAATTTCGACCAGAAGCAGCACTGCAGCTGCAGCCTTCTGAAACGACATCGCTGTCGACAGGTTGAAGATGATATCAGATGTGGAGTGACTTCGACGGCGGCTTGGAAGACAGAAATCCTGGTCCTCGAATCCGCGACGTGAGATGTGATGCGGATATGTGTAGAACGATGGCGATACCACTCCGCACGGGAGGACGACATTATATATGCCCTGCGGCAAAACCCCCTGGGTAGCAAGACTCTTTACCCTGTCTCTTCAACCATGGCTTCTACAGACTGTATGATGCCTGCCGACGTATCGCTTTGACATCTTGCGTGGACCCCATCCGTACGCGAGAGGATGATCCTGTGGTGAACGACCAGGCACAACGGTCGGATCTCGAATGTTTCCGGGCGCTAGCCTCGAAGAGTGACATCTGCCAAAATCTCCGATGGGAAACGCTAGGGTCGGATCGCGACTGCTCCGGCTTCCGTCCTTATTCACGCGCCGTTGCGTCGTTGAGCGCGCATATACCGTATTGGAGGTTTTAGTGCGAGTGTTAAGCTGGGATGTAGCAGGTACGTTCTTCGTCTAGTGCTTCCAAACGGATGTCATTGCTAGCCATCCGGTCGCGCCAAGCTTTTGGCTCGGTTCTACATACCCCACGATCGGCGTAATCTCTTGTGCCCAACGCCAAGCCGGTACGTAGGACGAACGTTATCAGCCTCCAAGGAGATGTGTTCTCTACCGCACCAAATCTGTTCCGCGCGAGGTGTTTTCAGCCTCGCAATCCACCAAGCATCCCGTCGGTCATTTTCTCAACGAAGACGTGATCTATCTGTATTGGGAAAGCAGTGCGAAAGCCCGTCGGTACGCGCAGGGTGAACTCCTTGTCGCTAATTGGTCGAGACACCCAGAATATCGCGCACTCGCGTCTCGGAAAACAATCATTGCTCTTCCGCACGGAGGATCGCAATGCAAAGGTAGGTATTCACGTGCTCTGGCGCGTTATGGAATGCAGTGCAGACGTACTGTGCGCGCTCAAGGTTGCAGTGCCGTTGCAGTAGCTATCGGACGAAATCAGTCAGGCCAGCCGGCAGCTCCCAAGGTCCAGCTCATGCTTCTCCGCTCACGTGACTTACATGTGCTCTTCGACGCTAAGAATCGCAGTGCAGCGACACCGCGGTAAAACAGTCCATACCCGCGTCCTCCCCTCTCACACTAGAGACTGCAGCGCAACGCCAAAACCAGCACTGTATGACTTCCGAACGAGTACCATTCATCTCACACACTCCTTTTATCGACCCAGATGCCCTTTCCTGCGCCGAACGTACGATCCAGTCCATATCAAGGCAATGCTCGGGAGGCCGCTCTTTCGCATTTACCAACGCTTTCGCTGAGGACTGTAGTACATAGCAGTCAAGCCGCGCTGATGATGATGCACATCTTGTTGATGTGGGAAGGTGTGGGCTCCTCCTACAAGATGGGTATTCGTTCACGCTAGAGATTGCAGTGCAAGAGCCCAAGCCAACGTGGTCTGTAGTTCCAGCATGCTGGAATATACCGTAGGTCTGGACTAATCGCAGCCTTATCGTAACCAACTGCCCTTTTCTTCAACACCGATAGTCGTGGCTGCAGAGACGCGCTACGTTGAACAGCCGATTCGTCATCGTCATACTTCGTATATGGTTTCGTCCGTGCTAAGAAATGCAGTGCAACGCCCACCCTTGAAGGAATCCCTGACCGGTTTGAGGGCCTTTGCGAAGGACTTCCACTTGCGGAGCTGACATTGGTGGGGATGCGCAGGCTGCGCGCCGAGACCATAGTGGCTGAGCGTCCCCCCGCAGGACGTTCACCAGTGTCACAGCAGCCAATCAAGCGAACCTTTCTACCACCACGTACACTCGTACGCGCTAGTCATTGCAGTGCAGTCACATTCGTATGGCCCAGGCCCCAAGGGATACGCATTCTACGTGCCGAGACGGTGGTGGCTGAGCGTTCCGCTGGAGGACGTTCACCGGTGATGCAACATGGCAGCCAATCAAGCGCATCTGTTTCGTCTACCTACGCTCGTCTGCGCTAGAGATTGCAGTGCAGGCTTATCCTCAGGCAAGTAACCTTCGTTCTAGCTCAACAGCAACCGATATATCCAGATGTGCTCGTTCGCACTAGATGTTACATTATATCTGCCTTTGATGCCTCATAACGTTTAGCTACCTCATACGTCCTCTTTGTCTAAGCTAGAAACGCAGTGCAAGTAAGAAGCCCAGTCCAAGTTTAATGTCTGCGCCTTGCCTCTTATCAGGTGCTTCTTCGCGCTAAAGATTGCAGTGCAGAATGCACGCCTAGAGTTGTTCTAGCTGTGGCTAACGGGCCACCTCCTTAAACACTCACTTATATGCGCTAGAGATTGCAGTGCAGCGTGCCCAAGATGACAGCAGGCTGAAGCAATTTGTGCCCAAAAGAGCGCGCCTCATTCTGGAAGCGAGAGTCCTCCATCGTGCTGAGCCCCAGGCTTCCCTCACCCTAGAGACCTAAGAAGTGTGATTAGTGTTGTACGGCTAGTGACTGTGGCGAGGCACGTTGGTCGAGAGATGTAGCACACCCTGTACTTCCATCTCGTCAAGTTTTCTTTCGCACTAGAAATTGCAGTGCAGGCGCCCGGCCACTCCCAGTAAGCGTTTAACTATTGCTGCAGGGCCGTCTTCTCGCATATGTACTCGTGTGCGCTAGAAATTGCAGTCCACACCTGTCAGATCCCTTTGCACGTCAGAACGATTCCGGATCTAGTTAGCGACTACTTTCAGATGCCTCTTCTTCTGCGCTAAAAATTGCAGTGCAGAGACCAACTCCTACCTCATCTGGGTAGCGGCATCGCGTAGCGGGGCGCATGCGTGAGGCCGCAGCTAGGCGCCTTTTGACTGTGGCATTGAAACGGCTGTTGATGTCGCATGCGATCAAATGCGCGGTTGAAGTGTAGTTAGAGCCCTGGAGTTCAAGCAATCCACGCGCCTGAGACAACACTAACGCAACTTCCACACGACGTTCACCAACGACACGGCCCAGCGGCTCATGGAGCGCAGCCCTCTTCTTGAGCCCACACAGAGTTGTGCAGTCTCACAGACCGAAGTCACTGCTCCACGATGGCCGATGGCTAATCACAAGAGGCGTGACCTGACCCCTCGTCCAGGCTAGAGATTGCAGTGCACACCAGTCAGAACGGCTCGCAGAAAAGGCCCCCGTCGCTGCTCTCAGGTGGCTGACCACATCAGGCGCGACCTGAGCCCTCGTTCACGCTAGAAATTGCAGTGCACACCAGTCAGAGCGAGAAACGTCCAACCTTTTACGGCCCGCCTGGCCAATGACTTTTAGCTTGCATCCACCTGTGCAGGCACACAGGCTCGTCCGCGCTAAAGATTGCAGTGCACCTGGCCTTGGCACCCATCACAAACTCATTCGCGCTAGAGATTGCAGTGCAGCGCAATAGTCTCAGCTGTGGGCATTTCCACCCCCGGAAGCTATCTTCAGCCTACCACATATCCTTCACATAGCCTTTAACATCATGAAAATGATCACATCATCTGTAAGAAACTCATGCGAATAGACCTCGGGAGGAGATATATTCAGAAACTTTGTGTCTGTGATAGTAAAGAGTTGGTCATCCATGGATGCGCATATACCACGCGTGCCGTTGATGCACCCCATGTAGGCCCATCCAGCCTCACGACCTCTCCCATGCAGATAACGCCAGCTCAAACTCCCGATGCTGAAACCCAAAGGTCATCACCAGTTCATAAACCCGTCATTCCAACCACCGAACGCCGAAACGCAAACCATGAAACTTTCCCTCGCACCCTTCGGTGGACAAAGTTCGCAGCGTCGCAGATCATACGCCACCAACCAAGGCAGTCAGAAAAGCCCCTAGACCTCTTCCTCAGCGAGCTCCTCAACGACAACACCCTCCTCATCAACCGGCTCCTCCTTAACCCGCTTAGCCATCGGAACATACTCGTCCTCAACCTCGACCTCCTCCTCCTCCTCCTTATCGCTTGTCTCATCGTAAGTAGGTTTACGCTTGCCGTTCAACGTGCGCTTGCCACGGGAAGCAGTGGGGGAGAGGATCTCGTCGTCATCCATCAGACCCTGGGGACCATCGCTGTCGGCGTCCTCAGAGACAGCTTTCTCCTTACGCGGAACGGGCTTGGCCTTGGAACGGGGAGTCTTAGGCTTGGAAGCAGCGGGCCTTGGTGATGCGACGGTGCCGGCGTTGGCGGAGGTGGTGCCGCCTTTGCGGATGTTGGTGAGGCGGTGGGAGACGGCCTTGGGGGTACAGTCTGAGGACGTGTTAGCCCCAATCGCTATGGGTAGGAATGGAGGCGGAGGCGCCCTGAAGGAATAGTTGGAGGTCCAATAGAGTGTGGACATGGGCAGTGCGATGGCACTCAAGAGCTGGAATGTACTTACCGCCGCCGATCTCTTCAGACAAGTACTTGAGGAGCGGAGCGCTACTCTTGATATCGTGGAACTTGAAGATGCCCTTGAGGATCTGAAACCCCTGTCAGCAGCTGAGACAAAGTTGATGGCACGCCAGCGGCGCGCGAGATGAACTTACGATCTGATCCTTGTCGGCAGTCCAGTTGACCATCTTGGCGGTAGTGCTGGAGGTTGTTCTGCGGTACTAGTCAGTATATGTGCTATAGCATAAGCTAGATGAACTCACTTCTGGTGTTTTGTTTGTAAGAGGTGAGCGAAGCTAAGTGCTATGCAAGAGCAAAGGCAAGAAGAAAGCTTGATGAAGACGCGTTGAGGGCGATTGACAGTGTGCGATGGGGATGGAAAGGAAGAAAAGGAAGGAAGGTGGAAGAGCAGGGTTTTATATCTTGCTGGCGGGGCTGGGGAGGCAGAGCGCAAGACGAGGTGAAGGTGAGAGACTGGCACTTTTATGGCAGTGGAGATGGCGCTAGCAGCTCGCTTGATGATAAGGCGTGGTGGTGGAAGCGAGGTGAAGGTGGATTTGAACAACATGGGCCGCTGGACAGTACTTAGAGGAGCGAGGAATGCATTGGTCTGGCGAAGATCAGTGAGTGAGCCGCGCGTGTTGGGGGTACTTGACATTGATAGCAGTTGGCCAGTCATCTTCACTGCCATAAAGCTGCCAATATCTCCCTGTTAGTTTATCTACTCCCCTCTAACTAGGCCCTTGTTGCAAGCACAAAGACACAGACACAGGCCCAACATTTCGTGCTGTTTTTCTTCGATATAGAAGGAGGTGCAAAACCAAAATGTCAAGGTACCGAATACTCTCAAGAATGAGATACTGTTACAGGTCATTTCACAATCCCAACCCCAGCAGCCATTCATGAAGTTCCTGCCGACTCAGCTCCTAAGCCGTCGGATCAACAAACTGTCTCTGCCCATCCTGCTCGTCATCATCCTCTACATCATCCCCAGCAGCTTCAGCATCCTCATCCTTCGCACCTCCAACACCCAGCCCCGCACTCTCCTGCTCCACAGTCCCCCTCTTCTTGTGATGCCATTCTTTCCACATATCCGACACCATCTTCTGGTTCTTCTTGTTGTTGACATAGATCTTCAACTCCTTAGGTATCGGGTACATCTTATCCATGAAGTCCTGCTTATCGAGCTGCTTCTCCGTCATTGTGGCTCTCTTCTCCGCGGTCTCGGCTTCCCGGACGAAGTACTTGGCCCAGCGGAGTTCGTACTGGAAGACGGTCTCGCGTCGCCAAGGAGTGCGGTTCTTGGTTCCCGCTTGACTGCCGGCTGGGAGCTCTTCTTCTTCGGCTTTGAGGTCGTCCAGGACTAAGCGGCAGAGACTGGGGAGGGGGATGTCCGCGGATTCTTGGTGGGCGCGCTCGAGCCAGAGTTTGCGCAGCCGATGGACGGTGTTCTCGTATGCAAGTTGCGGCAGTAGACCGCATGGTGGTAGGTCGTTGCTGAAGAGAATGGGCACTGCGTGGTCAGCTAACCACCTTGAATGGCGTGCGTCGGGGTTTGCTATCACGGGACTGATGTTCGTGAAGTTGAAAGACTTACTGTTGGGTAATAGCGCAAGCTCTTCCTCAGAAAGCGGTTTGTTGCTCTCATCGTCAGGCTTGCCATGGCCGTCCAAACCAAGTCCAGCAATGTCGTCGGACACATCGGTCCATTCATCTTCTTCTTCGACATGTGTTAGCGCTTGACATCAGGTTAGAACTTCCGGTAGTCTTGGCATACCCTGCATCTCTGTTGTTTGGCCTGTCGGTGGAGCTGACATGTCACTAGTTCCAAAGGGCAGCCCGGGCATGTGTAGCGAGCGATGACAAGGGCAGCTGAAAATGACCGCGCCGAATCGAGTGCGCGCACAATAAAGAATTAGAAATTAGAAGATGGGTGTTGCGCGTTGATGTTGCGGCAGGAGTGCAGGCTTCGGCGATCAAGCAAATAGAACGCCAGCGTCCGCGCCTGCTGCCCAAACGCAGGTAGTGCAGGGCAAGAGCTCATGACGTCAGCGCGTGACTAGACCCTGGAAATTGTACAAAATCACGGGACGTTAAAATCGGTCGAAATGTTTTGACGGAAGAGACACATGAACATGATGAGAAGGTAGTACTACACCATTGTCGCAAACCAGAGAATGTCTTGTTAGTTCATTGATTGCGACATCTGTCACACAACCTCAACCACGCAGTAACCAAGTCCATGCTCATCTACAATGCTTTGCCCATGAACTTCCTCTTGGTGTAGCTGAGCCACCACTTGCTGGGTGTGTTTGTCTCGTCCGCGTAGACTCTGTTCAGTAACCGTGTCGCCAACTCTTGTCGCATCTGCATGATGTACTGTCGCAGCACCTCCGCTCCGTTCCTGTCCGCTGGCGCCTCGAAGGCCTGGTTGAGCGGGAAGCCTGCGTCGCCCGGAATCGCAAAGTTGGTATCCAGCGCAATGTTCATGACAGCCTGCCACATAGTCAGCTTCCAGCGCCCACCTTCTTCATCCGTCTTCCCGACAGCATACCTTTTCGGCTTCTCTCCGACTCATCCCCGGCTTGATCTTTCCCAGTACCTCGCTAACGTATAGGATGCCATAGATGAGGACACGGTCGGCGGGCCCCTTGATCTCGAAGTTGCGGAAGAATGTGTTGGCGCGGAAGAGGGCAAGGATCTCGTCTAGCGGATCGTACGACTCGTGTGAGGCATCGATGGTGAGCTCTGTGACATCGGCAGGTAGAGCTGGCAGCTGGATGGCAGGGCCGCGGGTACGTGTGCGGAGTGGGAGGAGAGCGAAGTTGCCTGATGCGTCGTCAGTCACTTATGCCCGCGCCGAAGCTGGAGGGTATAGCTGTACCAATCAATTGCTGATTGGGCTCATCGAGGAAGACGGAGTGGTAGGCCTAGAGGGTGTTAGCTGTCGCTCAACATATTCGATACCACCCTGAGGCATCAATCTGAAGAAGCGATGCTATAACTCACCGGCATCTTGGGTGTTGTCGCCTAGCTTGTTGGTGTCTGGCGGTGTTCTGGGAGCTCGGCGGAGGTGACGGCGCAGCTCCGCTCGGTGAGGTGTGCTGGTAGGGCTGAGCAGCGGGGGGTGACTAAGCCGCCCCATCAACGCGTCCCTGCGCGCGGCGCGTCTCCCTCGACTTTCTTACTAACAGCCTCCAAACCGCCAATCAACGTTCTAGCTACCTCGATTCTACCTCAATCCATACAGAGACTCTCTGAATCGTTATTCCAGCTATCGAAATGTCCGACTACGAAGATGAGATGGACGTGGACGCGCCCGCGGTGGACAACTCGATAACTTTCGGCGGAGACCAGAAGAAGGGCAAGAGAAGCGCCGCAAATCTACCCGTTGAAGCTGAAGACTCCCTGCCATGGTGAGGCTGAAAAATTGCTGTCTTCTGCACACCTGCTAAATATCAGACAGGGTAGAGAAGTACCGACCAAATTCACTCGATGACGTCGAAGGCCACAAGGACATAATAGCGACCATCAATAAGTTTGTAGACTCAAATGTACGGTCTGAAGTTGCCTTAATATCGCTTCGCTAACCTCACCAGCGACTACCCCATCTCCTCCTCTACGGCCCTCCGGGTACCGGAAAGACATCGACCGTCCTCGCCCTCGCACGCCGCATATACGGAAACAAGAACATGCGACAGATGGTCTTGGAGCTGAACGCATCAGACGACAGAGGTATCGACGTTGTGCGCGAGCAGATCAAGACATTCAGTAGCACAAAGCAGATCTTCTCTGCGACACCCAAGGCAGGAGACTCATCGTTGGCAACGTTCAAGCTCATTATCCTCGACGAAGCCGATGCCATGACTGCGACCGCGCAGATGGCCCTGCGACGAATCATGGAGAAGTACACCGCGAACACCCGCTTCTGTATCATCGCCAACTACACACACAAGCTCTCGCCAGCGTTATTATCACGATGCACGAGGTTCCGATTCTCCCCGCTGAAGGATCAGGACATCAGAAATCTGGTCGACAAGGTCATTGAGGAGGAGAAGGTCAACATCACGCAAGATGCAACCGACTCGCTTGTCACGCTCAGCAAAGGAGACATGAGGCGAGCGCTTAACGTATTACAGGCCTGCCACGCATCAAGCACGCCGCTTCAGACACCCGGCAAGCCCGCACCCGACCCATCTACCATCGTACGCGACGAGATCACGCAGACGACCATCTACGACTGCATAGCAGCACCACACCCGTCAGATATCAAGTACATCATCGAGACGTTACTATCGAAGAACGACATGACAGAGTGCTTGCGCACGGTCAATAACCTGAAGATCATGAAGGGACTCGCGCTGGCAGATATTCTGACGGCGATCAGCGAGGAGCTAGTCAGCAACGACGTGCCGCCGCAGGTCATGGTGACTTGGATGGCGGGTCTGGCAGACATCGAGTACAGGTTAAGTGGAGGTGGTAACGAAGCCATACAGACGGGCGCAGCGATCGGCGTTGTGAGGACAGGTGTTGAACTGTTGGAGACCGGAAAGAAGTAGCACGTTCGCGACACTAGTAGTGGAACGAGGACAAGAGCGAATTGCTAGAAATGATACCATCGGAATGCGCAAAAGTAATGCGACAAGACTAGATCCGCACCACCCAAAGATCGCAGTCGTGATGATACACTACAAGAAAGTGGGGCGCTGTGTCTCAGGATACTCAAGATCACCGTGGTGATAGGACGAGAGTCGTGTTTTGCGCTAGCCACGCTAGTCAACACCCACGCGACTCGGACGCGCCTTCCGATTGACGTACCCCGGGATATATACACAACGCATCAACAATCAACACAGTTATCTTAGTCGCGTTCCTCAGAGTTGAAGATATTCCCGTCCCCGCTTCCTAAACGAAACACGTGCGACCACCTTGGTATATCGAATAACCGAAAACGCGCGACGCGCATGCATATACCGATCATGCCTGTAAAGGTAAGCCAACTTGTGCGTTGAATGATCATGGGACTGACATCAAACAGAGAAGAGAAGGCCCAACAAAGCAGCGACAAGTCAGTCTGCGCAGAAGTCGAAGCATCGATGTACTTGCTCTTCCAGTATCTGTAGAACAGACAAAGTTACAAGAGCGTCGAGCAATCGAGGGAAAGAGCAAGCGGCCGCCTAGGTGGCGAGGGCCTGTAAGTACTATATATCCATGGCGCAAAGTCACCCAGGCTCATATCGCCGCAGCAGCAAAACAACAACCCTTTATCTCACAGACCAGCGCCAACCATGCCTTCGCAAAAAGAGTCGATACCAGCACATGACCTCAAGAACAGTCCACCAGACAGCCAGCCACCACCATCATCAAACATCCAACTCCGCTTCTCTTTCTCCGAATCCTTCATCGATGATGTCGAGCGACAAGTCCACTCCGAGAACAACTTCAACCAGAGTTTCTCGGGGCTGACGATGACCCCTGGTGCCAGCTTCTCCTCTTCGAGTTCACAGTCTACCACAAAAGCATCTCCCGTTCAGCCTATTCAACCGCAAACGTCCATCTACCACCAGCCTCCGGTCTTGATCAAACCGGGCAAGAAGAGAGAAGGCTATGGATTCAGCTACTCAGAAACGTTCATGTACGATTCAGACGACTACCCCGACACGGAGTGCGGGGACGCTGATGACCATTCGTCTGAACTACATACCACGAGGTCACTGGATAGCAACCCGTATCTAAATTGGGACGGCAGCATAGGATCACGACAACCACAACACGGGCAACAATCTCATCTATCCCAACAATCACAGTCCTCAACCAGGCCAACATCACGAGACTCCACAGCAACAATTCCAACACCAACAACGTCCTTCGACGACCTCGTCGTCCTCCGCCCATCAGGCTCCTTCCACCTCGCCCGCCCACAACGCCATCTCCCCTGCACAGCCGCAACGCGCGAAGACGCGCTCGCCCTCCGTGCCTCCGCCACTTTACTCCTCTCAAAATACACAGAGTCCTCATCAATCCAACTCGCACTGCTAACACGCATGGAGCGCATGATGTATCTGGAGCAGCAGAAGCCTGATGCGACGGAAGATAGTGTAGCGGAGAGTTTGGAGTCATGCGTGAGGAGGTTACGAGATTGGTTGGTTAAGAGTAAGGATGAGAGGATTGAGACGGGGGAGTGGAGGGGCGTGGTGGAACATGAGATCGAGTGGGTGGAGTGGATGGCAAGGGCGGCGGAGAGGGGGGTGTTGCATGTTAGGCGGAGGGGGTGTCGGTGTCGGCCTGAGTGGGAGGGGCTATGAATAGGAGGTGGGGATCTGCTGGCTACGGGAAATATAGGAAGTGTCAACCAAACCACATGCATTTGTCTCACGCACCCGGTCTGCACTGCAATCTCTAGCGGCGGCGAGCAAGTCTGTCAGGCAGTCAGCCAATAATGTACGACCGTTCGCATGGCCCCCGTCGTGTCGGTGCTCCCGCTGCACGACACATCTGTTGCACTGCAATTCTTAGCGTGGAAGAGAAGGTACGTGACTAGGGTTCAGCCAACCATGCAGCTTTCGAAGGACTCGAAGGCTGTCGATAGGCTTTTGCGACGGACCGTGATTGGTCATCAACAAGCCATGCGCACGCCAGGATCAGAGAGGTTTGCTACTTTTCGATTGCACTGCAATCTCTAGCGTGGAAGAGGAGGTATGCGAGGGAAGAAGCCAACCATGCAGCTTTCCAAGGATCTGAAGGCTGTCAAATGGCTTTTGCAAAGGACCGTGGTTGGTTATTGCGACAAGCCATGCGCATGCGCCAAGCCACGGGTCGTTTGCCTTCTTTTGCGTACTGCAATTTCTAGCGTGGAAGAGACCATCTCAGTCGCGCACTAAGACCAGAATGGCTCTGGCAACATCGTAACGGAAGTACAGACTTTCTGTTACCCGGCTTCTTGCAAGATTGACGTTTGCAACCAGCGGCGAGGTACCGACAGAAAGGTCTCTGTACCGTCTGGTACGCAAATACAGACGTGCACTGCAATCTCTAGCCCGGACGAGGCCTCTCAGCCACCTGCGTACTAACATCGAGAGCGCTCTCTGGCTTCGCGATGGACATGCAATCGTTCGTGCTATCCGAGTTCGCGCGGGGGTCCGGTTCAGATGCGTGATGCGGCAGGTGTGATGTCCTTTGGTGTACGACATGCTCGCGAACGTTTCAAGAAGCCGTTCGACCCTACCCGAGCACGGCCTGTACTTACGAGCCACATGGGTTGATACGACATCGGATTCGGGAACCACTAGTATGGAGGGACGCGCAGAGATTGTGGCTGGACAACCATGCACTGCCCACCGGTGAAGCTGAGACGGGGGTCGACTTTGCCAAGTCGCTGGAGCTCTCATTGGTCGTTGTGGATGCGGCTCTGGGTTTCTAGGAATCTGCCTAAAGTAGGCGGACAACTGCACTGCAATCTTTAGCGCGAAGGAGCAAGTATCTTTGCCAAGGAAGCCATGAACGCAGGGCGTTCGCGCAAGCCCGTTACGCATCGCTCAGCATTCGTGCACAGCTCACCATGCAGTCCGGCTGCAGGATGCTTGCATGAAATCCCTTACCCTTGACCAGCGTCTCAGTTGTAGAGGAGCTGACTCCCCAGGGAAACAGATAGCGGCGGTGACCCGACCTCGGGAACGTCTGGATCGTAGCGCCTGCACTGCAATCTCTAGCGTGGGAGAGACCATCTCACCGTGTACCAAGACCAAATTGGCTTCCGGAACGTCGAAATATAATAGAACGTCTTTTACCATTCTGCTCTTCGCAAAAACGTTCTCCCATGCGCAACGTAGTAATTGTGACATGTGTGACTTCATATCCGTTGCTTAGGTACATGGCATGCTCGGAAACATTTCCGAACGCCTGTCGGACCTTTCCGAGCGCGGCCTTGTACTTCAACACTGGCCTTCCAACCATCCGTAAACTCCCTCGAACTTCTAACTTGTGCAACTAGCATGATTAAAGCGACGAAGTGCTTTGCGAAGTTAAGTATCGGTCGCCGTCTGACTGTCCCCGCTGCTCGTCAGTCCATGTATACCACATCCGCGCCACGCGTAGCAGTCCTATACCAAGAACTCGATCCACCATTGATCAATGGGGTGCGCAAGCCCAAGAAGCCCGGAGGTACTTGGTCTTTCTCCATGCACAAACCGTTCCCGCAACATTAACAATCCCACCCAAGGCTACATCGACTCCAGCGCAGACATCGCCCACGCACTAACCCACCAACACCACAGCCCCATCACCGTCGTCACACCCGTCTCAACTCCAGACCCGCGCAACGATGCAGACTGGTGCTTTGGCGATTCCGAGGCCGGAGTTACGCGTGCGCTGGAGAAGGGGGCGACGCATCTCTGGGCTAACACTATACTCTTCGCGGAGCATCCGCTTCAGACGGCAGACAGCTTGACAAGCGTGGCTGAGAAGCTGATGATCGTTGGACAGCCCCCCAAGCTGGTCGAACAGTGCGATGATAAAGCATTCGTTAACAATCTTCTTCGTGCTCGTGGTGGGTTTACGCTGCCGTATTCACACGACGTTCACGATGAGGAAGATCTTGCGGCAGTGCTCCGGGCGGATCTTCGCTATCCCGTTGTCGCTAAGCCGGTTAGAGGACGAGGAAGCCACGGAGTGAGAGTTTGTCGCTCCGAAGAGGAACTGATCGAACATTGCCGCGATTTACTGGGAGAGGATGCGTACGTGATCGTCGAAGACTTTCTTGCGGGTCAGGAAGTCACTGTTACTGTTATGCCGCCTGCGCCTGCATCGGGACGGGACGGGTATTGGGCGATGCCCGTTGTGGAACGGTTTAATCACGCTGATGGTGGGTTGGCCTTGTGGATTTGGGAAAGCGTATGCGATGCTCACTGACTACTCATAGGTGTAGCACCGTACAACGGCACAGTCGCTGTTATGCAGAACTCTCGCTGTCTTTCCGAAGAAGAACACCTGGCCGATCCACAGTATGGCGAAGTACAGCGACAGTGTGTTGAGGTGGCGAAGCTGCTTCAATGTACTGCTCCTATCCGAGTTGACGCTCGTCGGTTCACGGAGGATAGGTCGTCACCGTTTGCGCTTTTTGATGTCAATATGAAACCAGTAGGTTAATTGAGACCTGCCGTTGATAACATGGCTAAACTGTTTCCAGAACATGACAGGTCCTGGTAGACCTGGCAGAGAGAACCAAGCTAGCCTCACGGCACTGGCTGCTGCTGGCTTGGGATGGGACTATCCAACTCTGCTGTTGAAGATACTTGAGTCGAGCAGTTCGCTGCGTGATCTGAGGAACGCCACGCCGTCGCATGTCGATCGCAAGTGATTTGGGTAAGAGGCAAAGTGGAAACTGGAAGTCCAGTCCGCAAAGTGACAACTTAGACTCTTGCCCATCTAATATTGTTGCTAGACTTTTGGCTTGCGCATAGAAGATAATGGGCTGATCGTCCAATTGTATTACACTATGACTATAGTTTCCAAGGTTGCATCATCGGGAAATAGCTTCTCGTACGATAGATGGGGACCAGTAGGCCGGACAAACATCCACGGCACAGGAGTATCTCCGTCCATGAGCTGAGCATAGTGAGTTCCTTCCATGTATCCAATACGCCTATACACAGTAGAGGCTTCCATGTATCCAATACGCCTATACACAGTAGAGGAACCGCAAAAGCCTTCTTCATCTACTGCCGGTACAGGTGCGACGATCAGAGCGTTAAAGTTGCAAACGAGATGTTCGCTGTTATGCTCCGCCCGAAGCGGAACCACCGTATACATCCTGCTCACCGTTGTTGAGTAGTCTTGCTGTTCGTCCCAGTTTATCTTTACGTCCACCCTATGAAGCTTTCCAAGCTGAGACATACTAATGGGTCGAGCGCGAAGCTTCAGGGCCCCCCTCTTCAGATTGCCGTAGGGGTTGCCGGCCTGAGCTAGCAACAATGACACATCTTCTAGCTCGACAAGATTCTGTAACGGCTCTCGAATGGCATGACCAAGGTATCTAACTCCACCGGGAACCGATGCCCAGCTCCAAGAGGGTGCATCAGCGAGGTACGATGCTCTTGAAGTGACAGAACACGGATCTGGGGAGTACCAAGAGAGGCATTGCAATAGGTGCGCCTCCCAGATGCCCGCAAAATATCGCTTCCCGAATTGCTCTCGTGGTACAGACTTCGCGATAGATGATAACGCTATCAGACGGTCTGCGTGATTCGTGAAGGATGACTCTGAATAGTATTCGATGAAAAAGAGCCAATTTCTGGGGGTCATGTAACAAGCATGGTGTCGTTCTTCGGGGAGGCTATCTTGAAATGGAGTCATATCCAAATCGGATTCCAGACACTCCCGGAAAACACCCTCCTCGGTGAAATGTAGTAATCTTCGCGAGAGGAGGCGTTCCTGTGCGACCCAGCCTCGTCTATTCAAAGCGGAACGAAGAACCGAGAAGCGAAACGCCGAGTTCTCTGGATGAAGGTACGAAGAAACTCTGGTTCCATCTCCGAGTTGTTGAAGAATGTCACATGGTTTCATGCAGTCGATCCCAACTTTGTGTAGAAAACCGTCGTTGGGATCCCTAGAGCAGGTAGCAGAAATAGTGCACATAGCGTTTTGATAAACAAGCCACATACGCGGTCCTTCTACGTTCCAGTCAGCATGATTCCCATGTGCGCTTGGTTGAACGATGCACAAGGCGTCAATCCAGATGAAACGTATTCCTAGGCCTCGTGCAACGATAACCGCATCTTGAAAGGTCTGCGGCATGCTGGCAAAAGACAATACCCGGTTCCCGATAAATGCCTCTCGCAGCATGCAGTCCGGTGGCCCTTTGCCCCAGCGATAGCTTAACGTACAGTAGTTAGAAAGCTCGTCAATCGTGGCGTATGCCGCAGCAATCCATGATTGCACGTCAATTGTGACGATCTCATTCTCATGACTAAGGTCCAGTAAGCGACGTGGTAGTGAAGATGCCCTGCGAGATGGATCCAAGTCCACTGGCTTACAGCCAACATGTGTTTCGTTTTCGCTGAGCACACAATCTTGGAAAAGCTGACAAGCGCGCAAGATCGGGGCATCATCGGATGCGAAAGACAAGAATGGGTCAGTGGCAGCGCTGGGTCTGAGGAGAAATTGGATGGTGTTGACTCCAGGGTGCAAACGTAACGAGATTTCCTCTATGGAGTCGTGGCGCCAGTGGTTGCAAATCAGAGATATCTTGTTGTGGAATTCCTGAAGCACGAACGCGACTTCCATATAGGCCATGTAGGCTTTCCCTAGGTAATTCCGGAAGAAGCAACACACGTCGCAACCAGTTTCAGCGTCCCTAATCAGTTCGTGTCCGGAATTCCATGTTCGAAGCTCTTGGAGCACGGTTTGCCCGTCGCACTTCGGGACTACAATTTTACTGCACTCAGCACACCGAGGCATCGTGAACGCTCCTTTAAGGTTGCGATCCGACAGGACCGAGAAGCATGAGCGTTGTGGAAAGACCCGAGAGCGGAGGCACGCAGCCCCAGGACACAAGGAAGGCGCCGATAGAGTCGCGAGTGGATTTTGACGGAATGCTTCAGGAGTAGACGGCGAAGAGGTCAATGAAGAAGGCTGTTGCCGCAATGACGACGTAACGACTCTCAAAGTCGAAGTCGAGAAAGATGTGAGTGATGCGCAGCACGCCAGGCAGAATAATAGAAGGCGACGAGGACATCCGTCCCTCACTCGTCTGCGGGGTACACCAGCTGTGCCACCATCATGCAGGACGCACCAAACCTTCGCATTCGCGATTCACGACATCCAATCCAATCTGTCCATACCGTCAATGCCGTCATCGAATATAATCGTATCGCCGAAAGTGCGATTCGGTATTGGCTCGCTGCGAGCTGCCAGCTCTTGCGGGTGGTGGTGGTGGTGAACGAGGAAAGGAGTCAGGGCGCGGTTGCCTCCTTGTCGCCTCTTCAGCAGCAGCCGCCACGCATCACACGCTGAAGGCTCGACAGGAAACGGAAAGCAGCTTGGACAATAAGGCTTTCTTATCCACCATACATATATTACGCCGATGATCATGGGCATGCAAGTTGATTCAGTCCGAAATATCCATCGATGCAATCACAGATTGGAAGCGAGTAGATCACTGAGCCATCGAGATGTTGTGACAATGTTCAATGTTTCTTTACCACTACTTCCCCAAACTACCTACGCTACGCTATGCTATCCCTCTGTCTGTCTGTCTCTCTGTCCCTCCATCCTATCATACACTAGAACTTGGTATCCATACCCATAACCAATCAATAAAACCCCCTCAAATCCCCAGCCAAGAAGTCATAATACGCCATAAAAATGCTCAAACCCCCCAACCCCTCAACCAGAAACGCCCAAGCCCATCTCAGCAGCCACCCGTTCTTCATCCTAATAAACCACAGGTACAGCCGTAGGACCCCATCTCTCATGCACACGCATCTTGACAGCGAAGCTCTCAAACTGCCATGTCTTACTCCGCTTATCGAGTGTCTGTTGAAACCTTGTGCCAGTACAGGTACCGATGGCATAGATCCCGTCGTGCGCCTTTGAGTTATTACATCCGTAGCAGACCTATCGTCTACGGTAGATATCCGCATCTCTTTCTCTGTTATCCCGAACATCGCGTCTTTGGTCCCTGCGGTCTGGACTGCGTGACCGTGTCCGTCCGTCTCTTCGTTCCCTCGCAAAGCCTCTGGCATCATTCCGATCGGGTCGATCTCTGTACGCGCGGTTGCGGTCTGACCGGTCATCTGTGTATCCTTCTCTCGAGTTACCCGAATCGCGCGAGCCGCGGCGAGCTCCTCGATCGTCTGGTTCGCGAGAACGGCGGGGGCCTTCTGCGCTGTAGCTGGGTATGTAGGTGTCGCCGCCGGCGGTAGCTGGCGGTTGTCTTCGGCGGTCTGCGCCATCGGGGCCGTAGCGAGGAACAGGTGGGAGGGGGTGACGGCCGTCTGCGGGGGGTGGTGGAAGACCGTTGTGGCCTCGGTCTGCGCCGTTTCCCCAGTTTGGTCGGCGGTCACCACCTGGTGGTGGGGGTGGAGGTCGGTGTTCGTAGCGGCGGTCGTAGCCTCCTCTTTGACCTCTGTCGACGCCTGGTGGACCGCGATCTTGTGGGCCGCCGTATCTTCGGTCGCCGTTTTGCCATGATTGTGGTGGTGGGCCTTGACCAGTCCATTCGCCGTTGGGCCCGCCGCCTACTGTTCCACCTTGTGGTGCTGGTGGTAGTGCTTGCTTCTGGCCTCGCGCGTTCCGTCGATCAAGCTCGTGTGAATCTGCAAAGGTGGGGATGTCTTCCTCGCGCATGGGAAGTGGCTGTTCTCGGAAGTATGGGTGGTCTATGGCGTCGATGGCGTTGATTCGTTTCCGCCAGTCGAGCCTCATGAGGTCTTTGATGAGCGATAGTCCGACGGGCGAGAGTTCGCGGAACCGTTGGGCGATAGTACCGGTGTGGACGGGGAATGCGCGTATGGGTTCGGCGCCAGGGAGATCGCGCCATCCCGGCATGCTGTCGTCGTTTGGTGACCCGACCAGCTCGAAGATGATCTGGGCTTGGTGAATGTCGCTCTGTCCTGCGAGGATGGGCTTGCGCTTGAACATCTCTCCAAATACACAACCCGCACCCCACATGTCGATGGCTGGCGTGTACTTCCTCAGCTGCAAAAGAAGCTCCGGAGGTCGATACCATCTAGTCACAACCAATGTAGTGTATTCGCGCTTCGCCTCGCCGTTGCCCCTGCCTCGTTGTGGTACCGCCTCGTCGTAGTGTCGTGCGAGACCGAAATCCGCTATTTGTAGGCGTCCGCGGTTGTTGATCAGAAGATTGGCGGCTTTCATGTCTCGATGTAGGATGTGGTTATCGTGGAGGTATCGCAGGCCCTTGAACAGTTGCAGCATGTAGCACTTGATTTGCGCCTCCTTGAACTGGACTTCGGGGTTGTCGAGGAGACCTGACAGATCGTGGTCGGCGTAGGGCGTGACCATGTACAGGATGGCGCGTTTCCTGCCCTCGGTCTTTGGTCGTTCCACGGCCATCTCTTCCAACTTGAGGACGTTGTCGTGCGACAGCATCTTGAGCAGCTTGATTTCTCGCAGCGCCGTAATAGGGAAGCCATCCTTTTCGTTGTGCATCAAGATCTTCTTCAGCGCAAAGATACTGCCGGTGGCCTTTTGTCGCGCCATGTGGACTTCACCAAAAGTACCCTCTCCAAGCTTCTTCATCATTTCGTATTCGCCGATCTTGCTGCATCCTTTGAAGCGTCGCTGCAGGGTCTGCGATGGCGTCGCGCCTGCCGAGTTCGCCATGTCGGCGGCGGT